TTACTAAAGTGTATTACTGATTAAGTTTATCAAGTAATTTAAATTTTGGTGATAGATTGGAAAAAATCGGTACTTCTATTTTTAATTTTTTTTAATCAAAAACACTTTTTTCTTATAAAAATAGTTTATTTCAAATGGCTGATATAAATTGATCGGCCTATCTGAAAATTGATGGGTTTCTAAACTAAATTTTGAGATCAGCCAAAATCGTAAAATTTCCCCAAAATGAGCAATTTCAGGACAGCAAAAATGGTAACTAACCATGAAAAAAATAAAGTCATTTTTGAATCAGCACCATCAAATTAACTAAGAACGTGTTTTGTTTCTTGGCATCAAAATTCGCGTTAACCAGTGTTAGAAAACAACCCGACAAGATGGTATAAATGATTTTGAACTCGATCAAGATGGTCGGCCATTTTGATTAGCGGCATATCAATCTCTATTGGTTATTGAATGCCGAAATTTAAATATTCTAAACACAATTTTATGGCTTTAATTAAATATGTTTTGAACGCAACTGTATGCATTCAACTACAGATAAAATATATTGTAGATAATTTTGTTGGAATTTTTGGGTACCCTTTAGTACTAGTGAGCCAGCCAAAATGAGCTGATTCATTTTATAGTTCACCAATAGAAGGGTTAACCAATCAGAAGGCTCAGAATATTCAATGCGACGTGTATAAAGGCGGCCATTTTTTTCCGAATATTCACTGCCAACCTCTGATATCGAAGACTGAAGAAATCCGGAACCGCTGCTGGTGAGTGTTAATCTTTAACGTGGTTTCATCGAACAGATTACGTACTGCGCTGTATTCTATATTCATAGACTTGGCGAACATGGTCAACAAATTTTACTATAAATGTGTATTTCTGGTAATTTTTTAAAATATAATAATGTGTTGCTGTTATTTTTACGATAAAAATGTATTTTTATACTTTCATAGTGTTTTGTTTTTGTTTGGGGGTTCATTATTTTACCCATAGCTGGGACCCTAACAAATGACAAAGCACTGAGTCTGAGTGAACCTGGGAACAAGAGCAATTAAGAAGTGGTCCTGCGCTCCTCAAAACCTTCAATCTGCCGATCAGAAACCTTGCTTCCGGGTGCAGCTTGAAACTCGATCAATGTCGGAAAGTGAGGATTGTGCAGCGGAGACAGTACAAAAATACACTATTTTTATATGATCTCACATTTGTAAAATTAAGGCAAAGGAGGATTTTGATTGATTCATAAATTTATTCTTTACGGCTTATCGACCCATAGCCGTTTATTTAAAGCCGGAAAATATTTTTAGACAGTAAGAATTTTAAGATAATCATGATTTACTGATATAAATTATTTTGCGTAGTTGATTTATTTTTTACGACTTATCACACTTTTAAAGGTTATTTGAAGACACAAATTATTTTTAGATTGTAAGAATTTTTTGGTGATAATGATTTATAATGATACATGTTCTACTACTTAACCCATACCTGGGGGTAGAAGATGCGGATTCATACCTTTTTGCCAAAGGTGATTTGTGCGTAAGTGAATCTAACGAATTCGACTGGAATTGAAACTCGGCTCTCCGATTTCCAATTCCGAGTCGCTGTTCATTACACTATCACATATACTAGCTGGCACCACCTGGTATTGGCCAGGCTCGACGTTACTTAACTTCGGGGATCGTGCGAGGACCGCTGTTTCAACGTGATGCGGCTATAAGCAAAGCTTTAGGAGGTGGGTGAATCAGGTACTTCCTGAAGCGGTAAAACAAAAGAACTGGCCATTTTAATAACAGGAAGAAAATCGTCTTGCTCCATTTAGCCAAGTGGAACATGAATGACTGCTTTAAAAATCACTAATCTGAACATAGCTTTTATCTTAACTGTAAAAGCCGACCAGAGTCTCTGATACTAGGACCGGAACTACATCTGTTACCATGCACGTTCATTGAAGCAGTGAGTAAACTTTGAACAATATTAGTTTTAGTTCTATAAGTTAATTTATTTCATTTTGTTTACTTTTGTTTTCTCTCTGATGATCGTTACAGTCAGTGCATCTCTGCAACCTTGTTAAAAAAAAGAACGCATTTCATGACATTTTAGGTGCATGTAGCATAACGTCTGTGGTGCTTACATTCGCAGAAATGTCCCCGAAAACGGTATGAATCTATTTCTTCTGTCGATTGGAAGACTCATGAAAAACTGAAGTAAATGCAAAAATAGTCCAAATTTAATATCAGTGGTGCAATAACTATAAAAGACATAAGTGTTTACTAGGTGCGTGGGAGAATTAGAATTACAAAATCATTCATAAGGAGGGAGTAGAAAAGAAGAATAACCAGGACGACAGTTGATAGCGATTGAAATTTCATTTAAATTCTTGAAGATTAAAGTTAACTGGAAAGCACGGAGACGGAAGGGAGTTCCACAAGTGATAAGTACGAGAAAAGAACCATTTTAAAGACGATCCACCCAAGTAGCTTTTTGTTCTCAGAGTTTTCAAGTAATGAAGATATCTTTGCGATAGAAAACAAATGAAAAAAAAAAATGCTTTTTGTTTTTTCAAAAAATGAGGCATTTCTGTACAACAAAAACTGTAGCTAACCAAGAAAAAGAAAGGTCATTTTCAGATTCAACGCCCTTCAAATTAGCTGAAAAAGATGTTTGGTGTCTCGACACCATTTCAAAAATTATTTTTTGTCGACCAATGTTATCCATGACGCAGCTACATTCCCCACAGACGAAACGTCACAATTTTAGAGCTGCTCTGTCGACATTTCCATGGCAAATTTTCTGACGAGTTTCATTCTTTGCTTCTACCATTTCAAACATTACCAACTAGGACATACCATGCTATTTCCACAGAATCGAATCACATTAATTCCCGTCGATTTCCATTTTAAAGATCAACCGAGGTAGCTGCTTCACAAGAACTGCTTTTTTGTGGAACAGATACCCGCGTGGATGTTTCTCTGGCCACGACAATCATCAAGACCAGAGCCAATCGTTATCTATCTTTCATATACTCATAATATTCCCTTCTTACTTTCTCTTCATACATCCATACCACCGATTACATTCATGTCATAGGCCCTTACCTATAACTACAAAATGAACTTTTCTTAACACTATGTATACTACGCTTCTCAAAAGAGAGGGTCGAATCAAGCCGAGCTTCTCGGCTTGACGGTCGAACTCTCTGCCTCTGAGCAGAGAGGAACCCAGACGAGGCTCCGCCGAAGGGCAGAGTCTCGTTCGGGGAGGTTGACCAACCCGATCCCGTTTATACGGATTCTACGGGCATTTGTTGGCCGAGCCTACGGGCTCGGGAAACCCACGTTAAACTCGGCCTTGTGCCATATGCAACCCCCGTGGGGGGTGGCTAGATACCAAATCGAATCGAGCCGATAGTAGTTCACTCCAAACCAGACTGACAGTCATACTAACACCTTCCACACCTTGTATTATTATTTCGTGTAATATACCTTCGTTATTTCTACTCTTGTTCGTGTTGTTCTTCCTTAGTCCTAACCTGGACCATAACAATTCATTAACCATCTACCATGAGTGGCTAGTTCTTTTAATCATATCACCCCAAGCAAGGCAATGAAGCCACTAGGACGCAATAGTGTTAGAGAATATGAGAAAAACTAATATTACTGTGAGTCGACAATAAAAGAATAAGAATTAAGACAGAGGATAACGATTGACATTGCATTTAAATTTTTGAAGATCAAAGTTGATTTGGAAGCAAGAAGCCTTCACAAGCGATAAGTATGAGAGTAAAATCTGTTAGCATAGGACATAAGGTTAAATCTAGCCATTTCAACTGTAAAATGATGAGATCTCGCTATATCTATTACTACTGAGTTATGAGTTCGATCCTCAATAGGTGTTTCATGTTTTCGGCTTTGTGCCACATCCTAGCTTGGCTTAAAAGTCACTATATACACACACGCAGGGCGCATCAACGTGGTGTAATGGTTAGCAAGCTTGTCTCGCTAGATCAGTTGCAACTGAATAGCGTGTTCGAAACTCACTGGGTACTCTAAACTTTCGGCTTTGTGCCACATCTAAGCTATGTCTAAAAAATAACCATTAATTATAGAAGTAGCCAACACACTAAATTATTAGATTACCAAACGATATCAATATTTCTGAAGCAGCCGGTGTATTGAAACCAATTTCAAATGGATTCACAAGAAACTTTTCGTGTCGCCTGTTTTTGTCTCGCTTCCGGGTGATTCCAACCTTTCTTATTTAAATACCAGGCATGAGTCATTAAACAGGGCGAAAATAATATGCACCTACACACTGGCTACGTCATCTGTCGAAGAATGGTCTGCTTAAGTGGTTCAGAGACTAAAAATCAAGTCGACGTGGGTGTCTGCTATTCTCTCGAGTTTAAAAAAAATACGAGGTGTGTACTAAAATGTCATGGACCTGGCTAACAAGGAAATTTTGATATTTTGCTGTTTGGTCAGGTTTGGGGTTGGACAGACAACATTTTGAGACAAGCTCGTACCATTAGTATCGAAGAGAAATAAGGAAGAAGTATATAAAGCGAGAGAGAGAGAGAGAGAGAGAAAGGAAGAGAAAAAGATAGTAATCATTCAATTCAATGGACACACCTAGTATTTTATCGCAGACTCCAATCAGGGTTAAAATATAGTATGATGTACCACAGGGTGCCGCCTCCCCACTCAATAGCTTTGCTTCCTAAGTTTAATTCATGGTAACTGATGCCTCCTCAAGAGGGAAATTTCGACGGGAGCTTGAACAATTTTAGTCCAATAAATGAGTTGGGCTCCCACTTTAAACACGAACTTGTGTCACATTGCAATCGGATGGGCGTATGGATATATATCTACATGCCAACCTAATGAAGACATACTTCATAAGAAAGTGGGCATAGGTTTAATCGCCTTGTGCAAGATATATTGTGAAGAACGATACCATTACAATACAATGCACGCATATTTCTAGCCATTCACACACATGTAAAGAACAGATTTAGATAGATAGATAGATAGATAGATAGATAGATAGATAGATGTGGACAAGCTAAGATAGAAATTACATTAAAAATTGAAATAGATATGAACAAGCTGTAGTATAGAGCAAATTTAAATAGATGGATAGATATGTACAAGCTAAGATAGATAATATAGAACCAATTGAAATATATATATATATATATATATATATATATATATATAAATTGATTTAAAATATGGTTTGATACGCCAGAGCAGTTATGAATGTACGAGATTCATGGAAGATTGAAGTTTATAAGCAGTAAATTCGACCTTGTCTACCGAAAAGGTTCTTGGTGGCCCAGAGGTAAGGCACGTCAGCGTAAATGACGGTTCCGTATAGGATGCAGGTTGGAATCCTGTCAAAGAACGAATATTTTCTATGAAAATTTCTCGGACATTCAGGCCTGTAAATGTTATTTAATACTGTTTATCATAAAACAGAGCATTTGCTTAAATACTTGTATCTATAAATAACAACGTTAAACATAAAAAAAATGTCTTTAATAAATAAATTGTCGGACCTTGTCCATTTCTTAATATATATATATATATATATATATATATATATATATATATATTAATGAATATACATAATATCCAACGTCGGTAGCACGTCTTGGAATTTCATGCAATTCTTGCAATCATCGGGGGTAAATATAGTCTGACCTTTATAAAGTTCGCATTCTCGTGGTGATGATTCGAAATTGTGTGTTAAAACTTGTTTATTTAATTTTTGTTACGTAAAATATTAGAATTAACTATTGATAATATATATCATTCAAATTCGAACGGCAAAGAATTAAAATAAAAATAAATTTTTTAAATTATAAAAATTTAAAGTTAGATTCAAAAGTAAACAATATATCAAGGGGCATAACTCTTTTTACATGCAATGTCCTAGTTATGCCAATTAACTTAAACTAGAACACAGAGTGGAAACATAATATCGGGGTGCACATATTAATAAATAATAGGTGGGGGGGTGGCTATATATCTAATGTGTTTGGAGTCAAGTTTTGTACTTATAAAGGTAAAATTATATATGCACACGTTATAAAGTAATCGAGTACATTAATATTGCATTGTATGTATATATAGATATATATTGCATTGTATGTATATATAGATATATATTGCATTGTTTGTATATATATATATATATATATATATATATATATATTTATATATATATATATATTGCATTGTACGTGTGTATAAATATATATTGCATTGTATGTATATATAAATATATAAGAAATGTTATTAATGGTGGGTTCTAAAAATATTAAATGTTGTTGCATATTATATTATTTTTTTTTATTCCAACAATTTATTTATTGAAAAAAAGTTTGAACAAAATAACTATAAGCAATTTTTTTGCTATCCTCTGCCAGCCGCAATGATGGAGAAAGCATTATCTCGAACCATCGCCAGTGAGACACGCTACAAGAGCCACTCCGTTTCGCGAGGCTCGTCCCTTAATCGAGACGCAATCGCGCCAATCCTCTGAAGGAACGCCATCGAACGAGGGCCAATAACCCCTGAAGCCTCCACTACCACAGGAGTTAAAAAAAAAAATCTATCAGCATGAGAAGAATATTTAACTATTTTTTAACCTCTGCCGGGCGATTTATCCTGGCTCAACCGCGGAACTGATCAAATTACCGACCGAATATGTATCCGCACAGGTCGCATCCTAAATCAACGACTTCCTCATTTTAAAAGGGAAAATGGTAATGCCATACGGCCGCTTTCCATCACGACGGCCGAGGCCTACTAATAATTAACAATTAATTAATATCTATTTTAATATCTATCTTAAAATCTATTTTACAATCTCTTTTAACCGGGTCAGTGTGTTTGAGCAGGTGCTTGGGTTTATGGATACATGTACACATCAGTTAAGTGTTTTAATATAATAGGCTTCTCCAGCAAGCACAAGATACACCTGTCTCCCTTTCCATTGTAAGGCTTTGCTTTCGCGATTATCTCCCAGCTAATGGTTGGGTTCTTATGGTTGTTTTTTAATTGCCAAACATATGTTGAAAGTGTTGTGCCGTTTTTGTATTTGATATTGCTCAGCGTCATTTTGTGGTGGTAAAAACGCGATTTCAAGCTGTTCTTGGTTGATCCAAAGTAATATTTAACATCACCGTCTGAAGTGATCCTGACTCTGTATATTATGCTTTCAGTCATACACTGGCCATTTAATGGGCAGATTACGTTTTTTCGGCAGTTGCATTGGCTTTTAGAAGTATTATCA